TGAATAAGCAAACAAACCGAAGACGCGAACTGGACCTTTTGCCACACTTCAAACAATTAAGGCTCTAAATTACTAGTTACTTAGTTATGATTTAGTAATTTGTGTTCACGAATTTAGCCAGAATCTCAATTCAAAGTTTGAGGTTGTTGCTGATCAAAATGGGTTTCCTTGTTTGATTGTCCCGGTTGGTTACCGGATTCTTCGAACTTGAATCACGATGTCCTTGCTTGAAGTGACCCTGTCATGCGATCATATACTTTCTTTTCAGTGTTTGGTATCGTATAGGTTTCTCTGATCATATTTTGTAGTTCTTCTGTAAGTCTTCTGAAATAAGTGATTTTAGTTATTTTTTTACTGATTTTGTCCTTGATTTGGAACCTCAACAAAGTTCCTAGTGTGGTTTTCTCAGTCAAAGATGAAATAATGTCCGGAAGCATTAGATATATTCCTGTTAGTTCGTTCGTTTATTCACTCTTGAGATTCTCTTGAAAGTATTGCGGTAACGGTTCTACTACGGGAAAAATTAATCTTCCAAAAAGGGTCAATCCACTGTCAGTAGAGGTTAGCAGAAAAGTAAGGATAATAAAGAATAACTGACAGGTACTGAGGCATAGAGTCCTTGGTGCCTTTCGCTGAGATTGGTGCGCTCGGCGGCTGGTTTTCGTGTTGGGAACTCTGATTCAACAAACTCTGTATGAGTTATTCTCTGCAGTTTCGTCGGGTCGGAACATTCCAAAGGAACTTGAATCAGAAATGTGGCTTGTATCATTACGATCTAAGATTCCTGGTATATTCTTAGAGTACACATAAATTTTTAAAAAAGATACGCACTCTGCGGCTGGTTTTCTGCAGTTTCGTCGAGTTGGAACATTCCAATGGAACTTGAATCAGAAATGTGGCTTGTATCATTACGATCTAAGATTCCTGGTATATTCTTCAAGTACACATAAATTTTTAAAAAAGATGCGACGACATGTTTAAATCGAAAAAATATCCGGGAACGAAATGGGAAAAATTCCTGATTTGTAGTATGCTCATTTCACTGATTTATGAAACGCGTATTGTTTATGGTTTCAATCACCAGCTTAAGTTGTTCTTTCTTGATAAAATCTAGATCATGGGAACATCCATTTCGAAAAAACTTGAGGAACAACAGAAAAACAAGGACGAGAAAGCCGTGGAAGAGCTGCAGATGCTGCAAGAGATGATGGTTAATAAAGTTGCCGCCGCCAGAGCAGAGATGAGGGAAAAGGCGCTCAAAGACGCTAATGTCCCGATTGTGGCGTTTGTCGACACATCAGAGAAGTATTCTGTCGACGTGTCGAACGCGCCTGATGATGCCATAACTACATCGATCAAAGAAATGTTTGGTGGAAACATCATACAGGGTCTTGTGAGCCTCATCGGCGTGGCCCTCAACCAGTTCTTGGGAAACACTCAGGCTGGCGTAAGTGAGCAGAACGATTACCACATCGTCTTTAGCGATAACGCCCTCTTGCGAATCGATGTTATGTCTTACAAATACGAGTTTTCATCCAAAGGAGTTGAAGATGAACGTCGGAATGGGTTCTGCTACTGCACACAAGCTGCTGTTGTTGACCTCAAAAAGGTGAGCCCGGAAGTCTTGCTATACGAGCTCACACGTACGATTGGCCAGGAAAATATTCCCGACGCAGTAAAACAGCTTCATTCAATGGCTGAATTTGGAGAGCAGTTGTACCAAGTTGTCAACGAGTTGAACACCGCTGCCGAGAAAACCCTCCCAGATTCTGACGATGGTGCTGGTCGTAAGAAACAAATAATAAATGCAAGCGAAGAAGAGGATGATGAAGAACATGATGACTGAGAAGGAGGAGTCCAAGGGAAAACTTCAGGTGTTTTCAAAACTTTACAGTTGCCGGAAAGTTTACAAATTTTTTTAGCTGAACAAAATAACATTCCTTCATAGTTTTTTAATGTTTTTTTTCAACACCTGTCATCGATACTTCGTTACTCGAGACGAAAGAAGTTGTTAGTAAAAAGTATCTTTTTGAGTTTTCAGTTTATTCGGTTTAACAGCAAAA